AATTTCTACCACAATTTTTCAATTCTCTTTCGGTAATGGAGAACGATTAGTATCCAAGCGTGTTGCCGGATCGGTGTGTGAATAGGCGAAAGGAGAATTATTGAAAAATCTCACAAATGCAAATGATAATAGAAATGAAAAAAAAAATGAAAATCGCCAGAAATTATTTGACTAAATGGACTGGACAGATTATTATTATATTATTTAATGCATAGCATTGCTAAAAATACGTTTTTTCTTAATACTTAGCCCAAGAGGCACTGTTAAGTAGCTGTTAGACATGGCAAGTGCAACTGCCTTGCAAAAGTCCGTCAAACTCAAGAATTTCCAAAAGTGATTGCAGCAGTTACACTTTGCATGTAAAGTGACTTTCGAAAGCAGTTTTTATTTGCGAAAATAGAATTTTCCGATATTACATTTTGTTTGTTAACACGGTGAAGGCAGACAATTCCACTTTCAACTATGTTTTTATTTTTATAAAAATTTACTGACCTGCAAATTTTTAACAAAATTCCTATATGCGCACAAAACAACTACAAAATATCTAATGTTTTAATGCTTTGTTAATATCAAGAGAATAAATTAGTTACAAAAATTTTTTTTTTATATGACGAAACATTTTTATAATTTTAGACAAATTCGCCATAAATCGCGCCACACAGCAACACTCGTTTACCCCATGTCTCCATTTTCTACTAAATGTGTCTTAACATCTGTCAAATTTCTGTTTTAACTTTGTCCCGCTTTCTCATGTAGGCAACTTGCTGTCTTAACATATCACTTTCAAAATGGCATCAAGCCAATCAGATCGAACTGTACCCAATGTAGATGGCGCGGTAAAATGAAATTTGAGTTGTCAAACTACCAAATGGCAGCTGATGTTAAGACAGCGATGGCAAGAAATTCGCCAAGTTTAAAGCTGAAATTAGTCGAGAACGCAGAACGTATACTTAAACGCAGTCTGTATACGCAGAATTTTGTCGATTACTGGAGCCCTCAGTGTTGCTTACTACACTGTTGCCACTCATCAATGCCTTTTCATAAACTTACCCTTTCAACTACAATTTTTCGTGCTATAATAGATTTTAGCTAAATACAAACTACGTAGTTTTCAACAAAAACCTTATTCAATAGTAAATTTCAAATATTTTAAACATATTTTGAATAGGAACTTAAATCTTTTTTACCATCTGTAAAACTGACGAAGTGGCAACTATCTAAAGAAGGAGAAATCAGCTGACACGGAAAAATCTAAATTCCGCAGATTTCTGCGCTACGGGCTACAACTACAGAAAAGTTCTGCGGTGTTGAGTTTTCATTTACATGGCGCTTTGGTAAGACAGATCGTGTCAGCTGACTCGGGTTTACGTACCGGTAGGTTTACGTTCTTGACTAATTTCAGCTTAAGTGTGGGAATTTTGCGGTCTCCACCTGACATTTCTGTCTTGACACCGCTTTTTTAACAGAATCTGTAGAAGGTGGAGACGTGGGGTTAGTTTGACAGCACTTGCAGCAAAAGTGGAAATTGCTGGTGCGGCAGGTGCAAGCTGAAATTATTAAATTATTACGGGATTTTCGTAATTTCATTCGTAGTTTTATCTTGCAACTTTTATTTCGGAAAGTGATTTCTGCAAATCTGCACAGAAAAAGCGCTTGCCACGTCTAACAGTACTATTAAACAATTGTCGATGTTGCCGGACGATCTGTCTCTCTTTTACTTAATCGATACTTTTCGATAAAAACTGTTCTTCTATCTCCAATCACATATAAACAATCCAATGGAAATGAACTATTTGTTAAAAATGTCCGTTAAAAACGTAGTACATAACTGGGAGTAAGAAATACTTAAAATATGAAATAAATTTTGTGGATAGGCAATTTTGTAAGCTGATAAAGTTAGAAAAACGAAATTCGAGGTTGTTATCGAGATTATATAAGTCCATAACATATAATTTTTTCAAAAACAAATATTTCGAGATTTCAAGGATGAAATTTTAAAAGGACATTTTCAATATTTACTAGTCCTTATGCACCAAAAAATTTAATCTGCTTAAATTCTAAAAAATTTCCCCTTTAATTTGATACCCATAATTCTTCTCCAAGCATATTTCACTGAATTTTTTAAATCATTTTTGAATTACTGACGTCAGAGTGAAAAACTAAAAACGCAATTCTGCTATATTGGGCCCATGGATCTTCGAATATAATGATTTTTGTGTGTAAAATTTACTATCGCACGGTGTTATATATATAATAAGCTAGACATTTATAAAAAAAAATATTAATTATTAAATAAAAACAGAAATATTAATTATTAAATAAAAAAA